TGTTGTGCTTGGTGTTTACCAATAGATCCCCACTACGAGTTTCAGAGTTGTTATACTTGGTGTTTACCAATAGATCCCCACTACGAGTTTTAGAGTTGTTGTAATTGGTGTTTACCAATAGATCCCACTACAAGTTTCAGAGTTGTTGTACTTGGTATTTACCAATAGATCCCCACTACGGGTTTCAGAGTTGTCATAATTGGTATTTACCAATAGATCCCCACTACGAGTTTTAGAGTTGTTGTAATTGGTGTTTACCAATAGATCCCACTACAAGTTTCAGAGTTGTTGTACTGGTATTTACCAACAGATCCCCACTACGAGTTTCACAGTTGTCATAATTAATATTTACCAATAGATCTCCACTACGAGTTTTAGAGTTGTTGTACTGGTATTTACCAACAGATCCCCACTACGAGTTTCACAGTTGTCATAATTGGTATTTACCAATAGATCTCCACTACGAGTTTTAGAGTTGTTATACTTGGTATTTACCAACAGATCCCCACTACGAGTTTCAGAGTTGTTGTACTTGGTATTTACCAATAGATCCCCACTACGAGTTTCAGAGTTGTCATAATTGGTATTTACCAATAGATCCCCACTACGAGTTTCAGAGTTGTCGTACATGGTATTTACCAATAGATCCCCACTACGAGTTTCAGAGTTGTTGTACATGGTATTTACCAATAGATCCCCACTACGAGTTTTAGAGTTGTTGTAGTTGGTGTTTACCAGTAGATCTCCACTACGAGTTTCAGAGTTGTTGTACATGGTATTTACCAATAGATCCCCACTACGAGTTTCAGAGTTGTTGTACATGGTATTTACCAATTGATCCCCACTACGAGTTTCAGAGTTGTTGTAGTTTGTGTTTACCAGTAGATCTCCACTACGAGTTTTAGAGTTGTTGTAGTTTGTGTTTACCAGTAGATCTCCACTACGAGTTTCAGAGTTGTTGTACATGGTATTTACCAACAGATCCTCACTACGAGTTTCAAAGTTGTTGTACTTGGTGTTTACCAATAGATCTCCACTACGAGTTTTAGAGTTGTTGTAGTTGGTGTTTACCAGTAGATCTCCACTACGAGTTTTAGAGTTGTTGTAGTTGGTGTTTACCAGTCGATCCCCACTACGAGTTTCAGAGTTGTTGTACATGGTATTTACCAATAGAGCCCCACTACGAGTTTCAGAGTTGTTGTACATGGTATTTACCAATAGATCCCCACTACGACTTTCAGAGTTGTTGTACTTGGTGTTTACCAATAGATCTCCACTACGAGTTTTAGAGTTGTTGTACATGGTATTTACCAGTAGATCTCCACTACGAGTTTCAGAGTTGTTGTACATGGTATTTACCAATAGATCCCCACTACGAGTTTCAGAGTTGTTGTACATGGTATTTACCAATAGATCCCCACTACGAGTTTCAGAGTTGTTGTACATGGTATTTACCAATAGATCTCCACTACGAGTTTTAGAGTTGTTGTAGTTTGTGTTTACCAATAGATCCCCACTACGAGTTTCAGAGTTGTTGTACATGATGTTCACCAGTCAGATCCCCACTACGAGTTTCAGAGTTGTTGTACATGATGTTCACCAGTAGATCCCCACTACGAGTTTCAGTGTTGTTGTACATGATGTTTACCAGTAGATCCCCACTACGAGTTTCAGAGTTTTCGTACATGATGTTCACCAGTCAATCCCCACTACGAGTTTCAGAGTTGTCGTACATGATGTTCACCAGTAGATCCCCCACTACGACTTTCAGAGTTGTTATACTTGGTATTTACCAATAGATCCCCACTACGAGTTTCAGAGTTGTCGTACATGATGTTCACCAGTAGATCCCCCACTACGAGTTTCAGAGTTGTTATACTTGGTATTTACCAATAGATCCCCACTACGAGTTTCAGAGTTGTCGTACATGATGTTCACCAGTAGATCCCCACTACGAGTTTCAGAATTGAGTAAGAAATAGCAGTTGCGTGCATATCAGATCTTTACCACAACGTTAGTAGACATGTCAAAAAGATTTCCGGTACAAGTCCACGTAGTTACCTCGTTGAGTCCCTAAAGAACCAAGTTTAAAGGGTAAAGGTAAGAAACAGGCCTTTTCTTAAATCACACCACGTGGATTTTTTAGTTGTGTGGCAAACAACGTCATGAAACGGCATGAACTGGGGAAAAGCAACCCCCCCCCAAAAAAGCTGAGCTCATCAACTGAAACGAGAAAACACTGACAAACCACGTGGGGCATAGGCAGTGTTACGAATCAGTTTCCGCTCTAACCAATAAACACTTGTCAAATAAGTGTTTACAATTTTATTTCTATGTTTGTGAATCGTGATGGTTCAAGAACAGCTCTTTGGATGTTAAGTAAAAATAAGACGTATAGAATTCTCCAGAACTATAAAACAGATCGTTTTATTTGTTATATACATCTACACAACAACAGACAGATTCTGCATTCTGCTATTCTTTAAGGACTGCGGTTTTTGTTTTTAGTGTTCTGCGGTGTTTTGATTTATTTTCAATTGTGTATTAATATTAGCGATATTTCTGCCACTGATGTGGTGTAAGAAGTACTAGAGATACCTAAACAATGTATTTAAACATCCAGGAAAGAGTAGATAGATAACAATTTCTGTTACAGAGTTTAAAGAAACAATTTTCACTTTCGAGCAAAAAATATTCAGATTTGTTCTTGTTTTCTATCAATATCTTTACAGGAAACGTTACGTACACATGTTTTGACGTAACAACAAATTGAATGTGATTGTCCAATAAATAAGGGTTAGTGTAAACAGTTATGTCTGAATTCATTTAAAGCAAATGGAAAATAACGGTCTCATATTGTTTTCTTGAAATAGATGATACACGTGAGTATCGAGGCACGCTGTCTAACAATGGGTCAGTGTTAGCACATTTTGTATATTTAAGCAGGAAAATATCAAAATACTTTACTAAGTCTATCTATCTACAGGTTATCTGTTCGCCAGTCTGTTAGTATTGAAAGATAAAGAGTACTCGTACAAATGAGCACACTAATAATATAACGTACAACCAAGTTTTTCCATTTCGAAACGGAGCACTCGAGAATAGTGAAATAGCAAAAACAACACGTGTTTAACATTGCGTTGAATAGAAGGAAGCTTAAATAACTTATGTTATAAACAACTTAGCTTCGCAAGGATCCAACAAACATTCACATCATTTGGTGAAGATTCATCAACAGGAGGCAAAGTAGTAATAAAAAAACGGCCATAAAAATTACAAAACTAAAAGTTTCTATGCATCTCTCCATGGACCCAATGAATCTCGATCCCAAATTAGGTGAGGATCCATCTTTGAGGTAGTTACATGCACATACAACCGACAGTACTATTATATTTATATAGATCTTACAAAATTACTAAGTCAAGAGTGACTCAGTGGTTAGCTTCCTAGACTGTGGACCCGAGGAATCACGGTTTGCATCCCTTAACCCCCCCCCCCCAAAAAAAGAAGAATCGCGCTCTAAAGGTTTTGTTAGGCTTTAGTATAATTCCATCCGGTTGAGTCGTTATTGTTACTATGTAGTATTGTTACATCCAGTCGAGTCGGTATTGTTACTATGTAGTATAGTTACGTCCAGTTGAGTCGTTATTGTTACTATGTAATATAGTTACGTCCAGTTGAGTCGTTATTGTTACTATGTAGTATAGTTACGTCCAGTTGAGTCGTTATTGTTACTATGTAGTATAGTTACGTCCAGTTGAGTCGTTATTGTTACTATGTAGTATAGTTACGTCCAGTTCAGTCGTTATTGTTATTATGTAATATAGTTACGTCCAGTTGAGTCGTTATTGTTACCATGTAATATAGTTACGTCCAGTTGAGTCGTTATTGTTACTATGTAATATAGTTACGTCCAGTTCAGTCGTTATTGTTATTATGTAGTATAGTTACGTCCAGTTGAGTCGTTATTGTTACTATGTAGTATAGTTACGTCCAGTTGAGTCGTTATTGTTACTATGTAGTATAGTTACGTCCAGTTGAGTCGTTATTGTTCCCATGTAGTATAGTTACGTCCAGTTGAGTCGTTATTGTTATTATGTAGTATAGTTACGTCCAGTTGAGTCGTTATTGTTACTATGTAGTATAGTTACATTCAGTTGAGTCGTTATTGTTACTATGTAGTATAGTTACATTCAGTTGAGTCGTTATTGTTACTATGTAGTATTGTTATATTCAGTCGAGTCGTTATTGTTACTATGTAGTATAGTTACGTCCAGTTGAGTCGTTATTGTTCCCATGTAATATAGTTACATTCAGTCGAGTCCTCCTTATCAAGTTGTTCATACATCTCATCCACATGATAAATACAATAGAAGTGTGGAAAAGCTTTACGTACTGTTTAAAGTTCCCTGATCATTTACATAAGTCAGTGCAGGCTGGATAATGCTGGTTGGTTTATAGATATTTCTATTAGATGCTTACAAACACCATCTGAAGAACATATGTATGCTTGGTAATCATTTCCTGGTTTCTCTTTACTGGAATCTAACCTTCTTCAGTCACTTTCTCAATTATTAACAAGGATGGCTGTGGATCGAGGGATCCGGGGTTAGAGACGTGATTCTGCACTTTAAGCTGTGGATGCGTTATTCGATTCTAAGAGACAAACAAAGCCCCATTAGTGGCGGGTGCTACTTGCTTGGCTGGCTTTCTTTGGATCAGTAGTTCAGAGTTAGGGACGGCCTATACCTGGATCATAGATTCTCTGGCCTAACGATTTAGTCCACGTGCGCACAAGGCGCCGCTCAGATTGAATATTTCTTTACTCATCAATCTAGAAGCTTATCTCATTTTTTAACACCCGGCAAAGCCGCGAATCCGACCAACTGTTCTTTAGTTCAGGTCAAATACTACCCGACATGCGGTTCGTAATCGTCATCACCTTACAAAGTGGCGTAATAAGTATGTGTTTGAATTCCGTTAACGTCTTTTTTTTTTTAGATACTGCAGTTCATTTAATTAAGAGGCTACAGGAATCTGCTGAAGAGGAGAGAATCACGTGACAGTCTGCTACGTGAAGTTTATCAACCTGATACAGGGCTTCCATTGATCTATTCTCCTTCAGAAATTTTAATTGGTTGAAAAATTTATCGTGTTGTTTATTCTCTTCTGATGTAGAATATTAATAAGCTTACAATGGACAGTTTTACTTTCGACTTAAAATTGTTATTGGTTAATTACTTTTAGAGTATACCAATTAATCACTGTTTACTGGTTTTTGACGTTTTCGACCTCTGGTGTTTAAACTTTACGGACAAGTTGAGTGATTGCCGTTACAGGCTAGACGAAAACTTAACAAGTTAAACCCACGTTAGTAAATACTCTTCTGAATGACTCAAATAGCCGGTTATATCTGTCCAACACCGAGAGTTAAGAGTGAAGTTAGTCTCTTGGTGACTATAATATCAGCAAATACTCTTCAGAGTGACTCAAATAGCCGGTTATATCTGTCCAACACCGAGAGTTAAGAGTGAAGTTAGTCTCTTGGTGACTATAATATCAGTAAATACTCTTCTGATTGACTCAAATAGCCGGTTATGTCTGTCCAACATCAAGATTTAAGAATGAAGTTAGTCTCTTGGTGACTATAATATCAGCAAATACTCTTCTGATTGACTCAAATAGCCGGTTATGTCTGTCCAACACCGAAGATTTAAGAATGAAGTTAGTCTCTTGGTGACTATAATATCAGTAAATACTCTTCTGATTGACTCAAATAGCCGACTATATCTGTCCAACACCGAGAGTTAAGAGTGAAGTTAGTCTCTTGGTGACTATAATATCAGTAAATACTCTTCTGATTGACTCAAATAGCCGGTTATATCTGTCCAACACCGAGAGTTTAAGAGTGAAGTTAGTCTCTTGGTGACTATAATATCAGTAAATACTCTTCTGATTGACTCAAATAGCCGGTTATATCTGTCCAACACCGAGTATTAAGGGTGAAGTTAGTCTCTTGGTGACTATAATATCAGCAAATGCTCTTCAAGGTAGCTGTTGATAATTCTGTTAAACTAGGAACTGTTAACATTGTTACTTAACAAAGTAGCTGTTGATAATTCTGTTAAACTAGGAACAGCTAACGTTGTTACTTAACAAGGTAGCTGTTGATAATTCTGTTAAACTAGG